GGAGTCCAGCCTGAGTCCCGGTGTGGGGAGGCGTGCAGCGGGCAGCCAGCGCCCCCGCGTCCCCATGGGCCGCCCCCCAGGTCTCGGGGCTCTTGGAAGGGTCCATCCCATCCCTCTGCAGAGTGGCCTCTCGGTGGCCAAGGTCCCAGCCTGGGCCTTCAGTCGGAGCCTCCGCCCTCCCCAGAACGTGAACCTGGGCTCGGACCCGATGCCCCTCCACCCCGTGCTGGGCCTGTTCTTCTGGGCTCCAGCTCAGGACTGGCCAAGCTTCTGCCTGTGTAACAGGAGGCAGGCTCCCAGCTCAGTGAGCACCCACCAAAATAAGAACAGCGCTGGGTTTGATCCCCAGCTGTGCAAACTAAAGCAAAAAACAAACAAACAAAAACCCAAAACAAACCCCAACCCTCTCAGGCCAAAACTCAGCACCCTCACTGCGGGACCCTGGCTGCATCCTCTCCCTGGCACCTAAGTGTCCTCTCCGGGTGGAGAGTACAGGAGGCCGGGTCTGTTGGATTTCAGAAACACCACGACAGAAGTGTTTAGCATAAGTCTATCTTGCAGCATGGGCTGTGCCGTGGGGCAGCCAGAGCTGAGAATTTGTGCCGAGGGCAGCCCTGCAAGGAGGTGCGCTCAGTGCCGACATGGATGGGCTTCCTTGAGCAGGCGTGACCTCCAGCCGGGACTGGCGTGGCCCCAGATCTGCCCCTCCAAGCTCCTAACTGAGGGCGCACGTCTCTCCTGGCTCCCCGGAGAAGACCTGGAAGAACCCACCCCAGCCCCAAGGTGTGAGCAGCCGTGGTGTGAACAGCCACAGACCCAAACACCGCTTCTCCTCCCCGCGGTGAGAGTGGGAGGCTCAGAGGTGTGGGGCGGTGGCCTCTGGGAAGTGAGAAGCCGTCCACGCTGTCACCGTGGCCTCCACGCGGCCTCTCACTGTGTCAGAGATGCCCTGATGTGGGCTCCCACTGCAATCCCGTATCGCAGCTCATCTCAGGGCGAGGGAGCTGTGTGAGCCGATCCAGCCAGCTCACACGGCCCGCTCCGCCTCCTTCGGCCTGGTCTCTGCAGTCACGGGGTCGCCTGTGGGGACCCCTCCCTGGCGGAGATAGCGTGGCTCACTGCGGCACTGGCAGGGACCCCACCCCCCAAGGGTGGGCACATCGGTCCTGGGACCCAGCCCTCGCCCCGCAGGTCCAGACCTCCTCTCTGCCAGGGTGGGCCCGACTCTCCCTGTCCGATCAGGTTTCTCTCCCTGAAGGTACCAGCTGTGGTGGCCCGATTCCTTTCTTTTTTGAGGCGCTGGGGTGGAAGCCAGGACCTCAGGTGCTGTACCACTGAGCTCCATTCACTACCCTGAGGCTGAATTTCCTCACACTCAGTGCCCCTGTGGCTTTTCCTTTGGAGAAAAGGTGTCCACAGCCTGGAAGAGGGCGGAAGACTCGGCCACTGAAGTCCCAGGACGTAGCACCGTTTGGCCTGGAGTGGACAGGACCTGTGGATCCCCAGAGAGCCCGTGGGTACCAGGCTCCGTTCTCTCTGGAGCCTGAGAGACTCCATTCCAGGGGACCCAGTGTCCTGGCCTCATGTTGACCTGGATCCACCCAGCATGGCCCCTGTCTGAGGCAGGTGGAGCCATTTGAAGATGGCAGGAGAACCCCAAGGGAGACGGTTGGGCTGCCCCTGGGCAGTGGCTGGTCTGTGATTCATTAGCTGTGTTTCTCCCACCTTCTTTTCCAAAGAGGACACATGTGTGTGCACACACACAGACATACACACACACATGTGCACACCCCCTTGCCAGTCTTCGAATCAGTTTTGGCATCAGACTGTGGCTTCCCACAGTCTCTCCCTGCCTTCATGGAGAAAGATACCTCTGCCCTTGGAGAGTTATCTTCTCCCATCCTGTTCTGTGGTTATGGAGGATTTGTATTAACTGGAGCCCCCCACCCGGTACTGGGAGTGGAACCCAGGGCCTTGGCATTCAGCAACATCCCCAACCCTTTGCATTTTTTTATTTTGAGACAGGGTCTTGTGGCTAAGCTGCCCAGGCTGGGCTCAAATTTGAGATCTTCCTGACTCAGCCTCCCAGATGCTGGGATTACAGGCATGCACCACCACCTCAGCTAAGACCTGTCTTTTGTTTCCCATAATACAGTCCCCCCTGGCCCCCGTAATCCAGGACACAGGTTTGGCAGCCCTGCGTGCAGGCTCTCTGGGGCTGTCTGACCCCTGCCGCACTGGATCGGGTCAAATGAACCTCACCGGGGCACCAGGACGCCCTGTGCCACATGCTCATAATAGCCCCAGATTAGGAACAGCCCAAACGCTCGCCAGCAGGTGAAAGTTAAACAAATCATCGCACATCTGTAGACCAGAATACTGCCCGGCAGTAGAGCATGTGCTGTTGTTGTGTGTGACAGCGTGGCTGAGTCTCAAAACAGAATGCTAGCCGGGCATGGTGGTGGTGTACACCTGTTATACCAGCACTTGGGAGGCTGAGGCAGGAGGATTGCTACAAAATCGAGGCCTGCTTGGGCTACATAGTGAGACCCTGACTCAACGACTCTCCCCACCAAAAATAACCCCCAAACACTCCACAGTTGCATCTGGTCCTGCAGGTGGACACTTCTGGCTTCCAACTCCAAGCCACTCTGCTCCACAGCTAGGAACGCTGTGTGTGCAGCCTCCTGTGCCCTTCTCTACCTGGCAGCATCAGGAAGCTGGGGCACCTACCTTGGTGGGCAGCTTCTGCTTTCCCACCGTCCTCAAAGTGGCTTTGCCGAGCTTCCTCCCTGGAGCATTTCTTTTCTCTTCTCTTCTTTTCTTTTTTTTTGTACCAGGGATTGAACTCCAGACCTTGCACTTGTGAGCCAGGTGGCACCACTGAGCGAAATCCCTGGCCTCGTCACTCTTATTTCCCACTACATCTCTACCTCGGGAGTCTCCTGTGAGAGAGCCGTGAGGAATCACCCTCTGCCCGTGGTGTCGGGGCGAGTGGAGGCCTTGGACGGGTCATTGCCTGGGTCCGGCCTCCACCCCTGCTGCTGGGCCAGACGTGACCCTGGGGCTAGGGGGCCGCTTCCGGTGATGCGTCTAAAGCAGTGGGCTTAGGTGGGGTGCCTGAGAAGGGTTCCTGGGGACGCGGACCTCAGCCCTCCTCTCCACCCCCCCCCCGATCCTCCAGACCGGAGTCTGGCCCTGACCTCACGCAGGCCGTGCCAGGCTTATCTCCAAGGTTCCCGTGGGGCCAGGTTGCCCTATCTACTGGACCAGGCGGCCACTGCTAATCTGTAGGGATGGATTTGGCCACGATATCAGAGTCCAGGTTGACTCAGGGGCTGTGCCTCGGGGTGCGTGGAGCAGGGCCACCCCCGGTCAGGGCCAGCAGCCTCAGGGGTGATCCAGCGAGAGACAGACGCCCGCAGCCTCTTGTGTTCTGGGCGCTGAGACTCGGGGTGGCTGTCAGCTGTTACCCCTCCTACTCTGATACTTGCCCACTTTCCCATGGGGCCTCTGCCTTTTATTTTAATGTTCTTTTCTAGCCAGGTGTGGTCAGGCATGTGAATAACCCCAGCACTCAGGAGGCTGAGGCAGGAGGATTGCCATGATTCGAGACCAGTCTGAACTACTAGAGAGACCCTGTCTCAAAAACAAATAAATACCGCGCCTGCCTGGTAAGTGCAAGGTCCCGAGTTCGATTCCTGGTACCAGAAAAAAAAAACAGAGAAAATCACATTCTAAAATAGGAGGGAATAGGCTGCAGGGTGTCCTATGGCTCTGCCTGTCCGCATGCTGCTCTCAGGCAGCCGCAGGGCTTCCCAGCCTGAGTAGGGATTCCCGGCCCGGCCCGTGGTCCGTGGTCTACACCGCCCGCCCCCGGGGCGTTCAGGAGGCCGAGAGCAGCGACTTCCGGGGTGGGCGTGGCGGGGCCGGAGGGCAGGCGCCGAGTCCGCACTCGGGTGGCGCTGTCTACGCAGCCGGCTGTGGATTAGCGTGATCCCGGAGTCGTCGCGGCGCCGGGTCCGAGATGTCGGCCAGCAAGCGGGTGGCGAAGGTGAGAGGCCCGGGCGCCTCCTGTCCCCTCCCTGTCGCCGAGGGCCTGGTCTGTGGGACGCCCCACCCCCACCCCCTTCCGCAGCCGCTTTCGGTTTTGCTGCTGCCGCGAGCCTGTGGTGACTCCGTGGTCTGAGCCAAGAAGTGGGCGACAGAGAAAAACAAAAACTCAAGCTCAAGCCCGCGGAGTGGGGCACGCCTGTGATCGCAGCAGTGGGAGGCTGAGGAAAGAGGGTCGCTGGAGTTGGAGGCCAGGCTGCAGGACGCAGTGAGCCCCAGTCTCGACGGCCCCCGCAAAAGAAAAACCACCTCTATTGAGCTTTTAGGCCACAAAGGACTCAGCTGGAAACCCATCTAGAAGTGGGGCAGTTTCCCTAGGAGAGGGCCGTGTGGGGACCGCAGGGGGCATCCTGCGGGTGAGGCCCGGCTCCCTTTCGGTTTCTGCTCCTGAGCCAGGTGGTTTCCGGGCAGGACGCGCTGTCCTCGCCCTGTCCAGCCTGGGCTTGGCTCCTGCTCGTCACAGCCATGCAGTCTTGGGTCCCTCCAGCTTGGGAGGAGTGGACGAGGCCCCCAGGATGTTGGGGACAGAGATGGCACCTGGGCTTGTGGGGGTCGGGAGAGCTCAGTCTCCTAGGGGTTAGTCTCCTCTTTGGGCTGGCCTGGCGCTGGGGAACTTCATCTGCTTATCAAAGTTTCTCAACCTCCTCCCTGCCCACATTTGGGGCTGGATGATTCTTGTTAGAACGTTTTCTGTGCTGTATAGGCAATGACTCCACTGAGCTACATCCCAGCCCTGGCCAGATAGGTTTTTGACGCGTTTGTTTTATGTAGTCCAGGCTGGCCTACAACTCACTATGTAGCCCAGGCTGGCCTGGGACTCATGGCGATCCTCCTGCCTCAGCCTCCCAAGGGATGGGATCACAGGTGTGGACCACACTCTCAGCTGGGCCAGGTGGCTCTTTGTAGGCTGTGGATCAGCCTCCCAAGGGATGGGATCACAGGTGTGGACCACACTCTCAGCTGGGCCAGGTGGCTCTTTGTAGGCTGTGGATCAGCCTCCCAAGGGATGGGATCACAGGTGTGGACCACACTCTCAGCTGGGCCAGGTGGCTCTTTGTAGGCTGTGGATCAGCCTCCCAAGGGATGGGATCACAGGTGTGGACCACACTCTCAGCTGGGCCAGGTGGCTCTTTGTAGGCTGTGGATCAGCATCATTGGCCCGTACTCACTAAACTGTAGTAGCCCGGTCCAGGTGTGTGCCAGTGAATGTCTCTGGATGTCGTGCAACGTTCCTGGAGGGCACACTTCTCCCTGTGAGAAGCACGCTTTGTACCCATCCACTGACCAGTAAGACGCCGGCCTGCCCTTGAATGCTCCTATCCCCTCCCTCCCTCAAGACACAAGGTCTAGTCTCAGAATGAAGCTACCTGACCCACAGCTGAACCTCATGGTTTCAGAGGGTTCGGTCCATGGTTGCTGGCTCTGGGGCAGGCACATCAGGGCGGGAGGGCCTGGCAGAGCACAGCTGCTCGGCGCCTGGTGGCCGTGGGGCCAGAGCAGGGCAGCAGTGGCAAGGAAACAACAGACCACACCTCCCTGGTCCCCAACATGCCCAGGAGTGTGCTCTGCTCATCTGCTGGTGCTTTTCTTTCTGAGGTTTTTTTTTTTTTTTTTGGTACTGGGAATCAAATTCAGGACCTTGTGCTCCTGAGGCAGGGGCAGTGCTGCTGAGCCCCATCCCTGGCCCTGCTGGCACTTTGCAATTGGGAGTAATGGTCACAGCTTCCTTGGTTTGCGCCCTTGAGAAAGATTCCGCGCTGCAGGGTTAAGCCCCACACCGCAGCTGTTCAAGGCCTGGGGAAATCCTGTGGGTAGAAAGCATTCAGCCAAAATGAGGCTTGACCGTGGAACCCTCCTCTAGTGACTGGTAACCTTCCGGGGGCCCTCTGATGTCTGTCACCTTCAGACATGGAGGACTCCTATTCATCCCACATGGCCCAGCTCCCAGTGTGCACCCTGTGCTGCCATTCCCCACACCACTGTGCATGCACCCACATTGTCCATGCAGTAACCCTGTTTTCTCCACCCTCTGGCACTGATCTTGGGGCAGGGCTCAGTAGAGGATACTGTTGGGAGAATTCAGAGGAGTCTGGGTGAGGGCCTCAAGTCTGATCACCTGCTTGCTGTGTAGACTTCTCCTTCCCCGGCCCCAGTGTGGAGGGTTGGGAGAGGTTGGTGGCGTGTTTGCTGGGCAGCATGGCTGTGTGGGCCACAGCAGGTGCTTTTGGAAGGTGAGGGGTCAGAGCCCAGGGACTTTCTAGGAAGAGGCCAGAACTAAGCACCTCGCTCCTAAGAGAGTTGATACCTGTAGTCACAGAACTTGGGAGGCTGAGGCAGGAGGATCTCTATGAGATGGAGGCCAGCCTGAGCTTCGCAGTAAGACCCTGTGCCCCACAGGAGCTGGAGGACTTGAAGGGGGAGATGCCCCCGTACCTGTGGGACCTGTGCAGCGAGAAGGCCAACGTCCTGGCATGGCACGTGCTCCTCCTGCCTGTGAGTGTCCCTAGCCCAGGCCAGTGGTGTGGGTAGGGGTGGGACCTGCCTTTCTCAGAGGCTGTCACCTTGGGAGGGGCTCTGCCGCCATGGCTTCCGAGGTGATGATGGGCTTAGCAGGAGTCCGAGCAGCAGCCTCCAAGGCCCCCACAGGAGTCCAGACACAGACAGGTCTGAGAGGAGAAGCTGGGGCTGGGGCGTGCTCCTGAGACCTGTGTTCCTATGAGGTTGAGGCAGGAGGATCTCCTGTGCCCAGGAGGTTGAGGCCAGCCTTAGCTACGTAGTGAGTTCAAGGCCAGCCTGGACTATATAAGTGAGACCCTCTCTCAAAAATCAAATCAAATCAAATCTTTTGGACCTTTTATAAGGAGTAGTACTAAACTTCTATGTATGTTTTTTGCCTTGGTGAGATGAAATCTTGGCCTTGAGCTCACAGTGATCCTCCTGCCTCAGCCTCCCAAATGGGGGGATTATAGGCATGCATCACCATGTTTTCTTTTAAAGATCTTATTTCAGAGAAATTATTGTTACACATGACAGCAAAGACAGTATTCTCACTATTCTATTTCTGTTCAGTATTTGATATCTGTAAAACTTCCCTTTGAAAGTAGTAGTCTCAAAAGCACAAGAACTCGAATTTGTGCCCCAGAGATTAGGGATTAAGTTCTCTTTCCATCTGCGTCTACCTGTGGTTCCTTGGACAAAGATGAAGACGTTTGAGCTTTGTGGCACAGCCAGGGAGCAAGCAGATGCCACCCTTAGGACCGGTTCCCTCCTGGCCGCATGGGCCTGGCTGTCATCTGCCCTCACTCACCCCTGGCCTGGGCAGACCGGGCAAAGCTTGAGCCAGGTCTGCAGCTGGCAGCTGTTAGGTCCCCTGGGCAGTGGACTTGAAGCAATCCAGGCCCCAGGCCTGGGGCCAGGGCCTCAGGGAAAAGATACCAGCAGGAGTTCTGGACCATTGTCGCCATGGAGACCAGCTCTGAGCCAACGAGAGAGTGGGGGGCAGGTGGAAGGGCGCTCTAATCAAAACGGGGGTGCCTGGGATCCCCAGAAGTGGCAGGAGACCCAGACACGTGGAGCTCAGAGCAGCCCGAGGCAGGAGGAACCCGGGGCCCGAGAACAGAGCTTGATTCTGAGCTGGAAGCTGCGGGTGCCACGTGGGCCGGGATGAGCCCCAGATACCGCGTCCCAGGCACGTGCGGAGTCTGTTTCCACCACTGGCTTCCATCTGCAGGTGCAGCCTCCCTACAACCTCAAGGCCTTCCGCCTGCGCCTCGCCTTCCCCAGGGAGTACCCCTTCCGGCCCCCTGTGGTGACCTTCACCACCAGGATCTACCACCCCAACGTGGACGAGCAGGGCCAGACCTGTTTGCCACTGCTCAGCAGGGAGAACTGGAAACCTCACACCAAGGCTGCCCAAGGTGAGGGCCCGTCCTGCCTGGGGCTGTGGCTGGGACTCAGTGGGCCTGGAGCTAGGAACCCCTGAGAGAGGACGCGAGACTCAGGGGGGCATGGCCGCATACCCTGGAATCCCAGCTCTTGGGAGGCTGAGGCAGGAGGATATCGACGTCCAGGCCGGAGGAACTCAGCTGTGCTTTGTGGGAAAGAGAGGCTGTTTGGCTGCAGAGGGAAGGTATCTCACTTGTAGAGGTTTCGCTCCACAGTCAGCTGGCTCCAGGCGGGGCAGCTTGCAGAGGGGTCTGGCGGAGGGGAGCTGCCCGCAGCATGGCACACAAATCAGAGACTCAGGGAGGAGCAGGGAGGGAGCCGGACCTTTTCGGGCCATGCCCTAGTCAGAAGTCATCTAGGAACCCCGTGCTCCAGCCACCTGGCAGGTCAGCCTAGGGGCACACCTGGCACGGTCCTTCACAGAGCACTCAGCAGAGTGAGGCCCGGGCTTGGCAAAGCTCTGTGCTCCTGCCACAGCGCCCTGAGGGGCAACAGCAAGGTGACGTCCACTGCTCCTCACTGACCTCCTCCACCCGCCCCACGGTGGCACGCTGTCTGGTCTCAGGGGGTGGGGACAAGGGGAAGTGTGTGATAGGCTGTGTCCAACAGAGCTTTCCACAGCACTGCCCAGTCCAGCAGTCACAGGGCGCTCATGCAGCTGAAGAACTGAGTTCTTTCTTCTTTAATTGTTGTTTTGTGAGACAAGGTCTGGCTATGTAGTTCAGGCTGGCCTTGAGTTTAGTTTACAGTGTAGCTCAGGTTGGCCTCAGCTTGTAGCAATCCTCCTGCCTCAGTCTCCAAGTACTAGGATTACAGGTGTGTCACACCACACCCGGCTAGCGCATAGCTTTTGAAAATTGAAGCCTGTGTGCCGGGTCTGGAGGGATCTGGGAACAGGAACACCCGTCACCCCAGGTCCGGGCTGTGCCTGCGCCCTGACATCCTGCCCACCTCTCCCCAGTCTTGGAGGCCCTCAGCCATCTGGTGAACAGACCAAACCTGGAGGAGCCCCTGCGGCCAGACCTGGCCAACCTGCTGGCCCAGAGCCCGGAACTGTTCTCGAAGAAGGCTGAGGAGTTCACACTGCAGTTTGGCGAGGACCGGCCCTCCTGATCCTGCTGACCAGGATTGCGACCAGGCCCTGGAGTCGGGGTGCAGATGGGGACACAGGGCCTAGCACCCATGTGTGGCATGTGGACATGGCCTGGGGTCCCTGGCCCTGCGGAGCCTCCCACCCTGGTTTGGGTCCGGGCAGTTCATGCATCTACACTGGCTTCCAGCTCCTCAGGGCCCAGGCACAGGGTGGGTGGGGTCCATGGGTCCAGTGGGAGCAGCACAGGTGCTGTCCTGTTTCCACCCCAGGGACTGAATCCGCTGGAGCCTGGGGCTGGTGCACATTTAGGTGCCAAACCTTTGGCTTTTCACAGAGGGAAGAATGTAACCTCTGTCGCAGAATCTGACCACGTACTGTCCCGACAGGTTGCCAGTTCCAAGGGCCAGGCCTGGGGCTGTGTGGCATGTGCCCCCCACAGCCAGCCTTGGGATCCGCAGAACCCACTCCCCTCCCAGCTCTTACTCACTCAGAATTCTGGAGTTCAGCTAAATCCTCTCTGAGGGCTGGGATTTAACTGGTGCCATTTCCCAAGGATATTTCCTAAATGTGGTAAGGACCATGAACGGCCATGAAAGAGAGTCTGTCGTAGCTGGGCATGGTAGTGCACGCCTGTAATCCTAGCACTCTGGGAGGCTGAGGCAGGAAGATTTCAAGTTCAAGCAGCCTGGGCAACTTAGCAAGACCCCATTTCGAAATGAAAAATAAAAGACTGGAGATGTATCTCTGTGTGAAGGGCCTCGGTTTGATCACCACGTCCAGAGAGCTGAGAGAGCCAGGCTGAGTTGCTAGCAGGACGTGATATACACAGAGCAGAATGAGGCCTCGATTCCCTCCAGGGTGGAGGGTTAGCACCACGAGAAGGAAGAGAGAGCTCTGCAGCCGCCACTGCTGGAAGCTGTTGGGATGTACTGATGTCTCCGAGATCGGATGTGGGTCTCTCTCTCTTGACCCAGCCTTGTCCGGGTGAGCGTCCTAGTTACTTTCTCATTACTGAGACAAAATACCCAACACTCAAAGGAGGTGAGGTTTATTTGGCTTGCAGAGGTTTCAGTCCATAGTCAGATGGCTCTAAGGTAGGGCGGCATCACAAAGGAGAAACGGTCCATGGCAGTCAGGCAGAAGGCAGTGAACAGCCAGCCTCCCTCTTTTTTTTTGGCAGTGCAGGGAACTGAACTCAGGACCTTGTGCTTGCAAGGCCGGTGTGGTGCCGTCCTGCTGAATTCACAGCCGCTCGCCCTTTCCCTTTTATTCCATCCAGGCTACAAACCTTTCGGGCAGTGCCGTGTTCATTGTGGACTTCTGTCCTCAGTAAACCCATCCAGCCACACTCACAGCTCTGCTGACTCCAATAGTGGACTGATTTAGTGTCCCACACTCTTGGCCCTGGTATCATGCACCCTAGAACCAGCCCCAGCGATGGGTGTGTGAGCCTTTGGGGAGACGTCCAGATCCAAGCCGTAACTGAGATTCCCGGAGAATCTTCCCCTCCACCCCGTCCCTGGAGCCCCCAGCCAGGGGAAAGCGCGGGAAGAGCTGGGGAGAACTTGGGAGGGCGCCACCGGCGGCTGTGGAGTGAGCGTGGCGTCGGCCACCGTGGCCTGGCACCCGAGGACAACGGGCTCAGGAGAAGGGCCACCCAGGCTCCCCGCTGCAGAGGTTCAGCCCAGGGCCCGCTGCGTGCCCTGCCTCAGCAGAAACATGGCAGAAGGGTCTAGTGGAGCAGAGCTGCTTGTCTCACTGCGACCAGGAAGCAGAGGGGGCGACAGACAGCCCTAGAGGGAGGAGCAAGGGCGCGAGTCCCAGGGTCACCTGTGAGCTGCACTCGCGAGCCCCCCACGTCTTCCTGTGACACCATCAAGTCCCCAGTCCACGTATGTTTTGCTGGAGTTGGAGTCCTCATCCCCCGGTCACCAAACCATCCGCCCCGTGCCGGTGGTTTATTTTTGGCCGCATCTGTGGGATGTGTGTGGCAGGGGAGGGAGAGGTGCCACACACCGAGACAGGGTTTTACGAAAGTCCTTTTAATACAGCCAAGATGGGGGCCACCTGTCCCTGCCTGACCCCCAGCTCTGCTGTCCCCAAGGGGTGGCAGTGAGACCCTCCTGACTCAGCTGTCACTTCTTCTTGGTCTTCACCAGCCCTTTCTGCACGAGACTGCGGTACAGCTCCTGGATGTAGGTGTAGACGCACTTGGAGTCGGGCACTGCCAGCCGCACCATGTCGTCCACGTCCAGCAGCTGGGCGCAGTCAGCCAGTTTCCTGTGGGGCGGGGCAGGATGGGAGCAGGGACAAAGGTCAAGACACAGAGCCAAGGAAGTGGGTGGGGGTCCTAGGGATCACTGTGTGGGTGCCGGGAAGTGGCTCCATCATCACCCCGTCGTACAGAAAGGATAACTGAGCCCCAGCTGGCAGAGTCAGGGCTCCAACCCAGCTCGGTGTGGTGGTGCACATTTGTGATCCCAGCACTCTGAGAGGCTGAGGCAGGAGGGTTGCAAGTTGGAGCTCAGCCTGGGCAGCCTAGCACCTTCATGTTTCAAAATAAAAAATAAGAGGGACTGGGGATGTGGCTCAGTGTGAAGGCCTTGGCTTCCTTCCCCAGTGGCATAAAGAAAATTAGAAGAAGGCCTCAAACACAGTAGGGCAGATGCACAGCTGGGGAGACGAAGGCGCCAGGCAGCCCGCAGGGAACTCAGCTGCGTCCTTTCCCTCTGTGCCCCTCGGGTGCTGGAAAGTTCTGGCTTTGGTGAGGTCCTCCCAGCCCAGCGTCACCCCCGGAGGACTTTGAAGAATGAAGAAGGAGACCGCGGCTGCCAAGGGGGAGGCCCTGCCGGCTCCTCTGTTCACCCTTCCGTCCTCCCCGGCCCAGCAGCCAGGTGCCCGCAGGAGGGCGGAGGCTGTGCCCTGCAGCCAGGGGTGCTTGGTCCCGCACTGATGCATGCGCTGCTTGCTGCTTGTGCTCCCTGCAGACCCAGCCTACCCTGCCCTCTGGTTGGAGCCTAGGAAACCACCTAATAGCGCCTAACTGGGCCGGGTGCTGTCGGGCGTCAGTTCAGATGAGATGGTGCCATCTGCCACCTGGCAGAGTGCCTGGCTGCTGTTCACCCTGTTCCTGCAGCACCAGCATTGTTAAAGACATTTCTGAGCTGGACTCAGTTGTGCAGACCTGTAATCCAGCACTCTGGGAGGCTGAGGCAGGAGGATCTCAAGTTTGACTCCAGCCCGGGGAGCACAGTAGCAGCTTAGAGAGATCCTAGCTCAAAAGAGGCGGGGGGGGGGCGGCGCTGGGCATGTAACTCAGTGCAAAGGCCCTGGGTTCGATCCCCAGTACTGAAAAAAAGAAATGCACCTCGCTGTCCCCTGTGGGACTCAGCGCCACCCAATGGCCACAGCCTCTGCAGAGCTGTCCAGGTCTTCACTGCCGAGAGCAGATGACCCTGGGCTGTGCTCTTCCTGGGAGACACAGAGGCTGGGCTCAGGCTGGTCCACTGCTGTGTGGCTGCCTCGGTTCCCTTCCTGGGCCGTCCTTCTCCAGATCCAGCCCCGGTGCCAGGTCCCCAGGCTCAGAAGCGAGTCCTCCGGCCCCATCACCCGTGGTGACCCAGGCATCCTCGCCAGCCCCATCTGCTGCAGTGGTGCCTCCCTGACACTTGCTTCAGTGGCCCCTGCTGTCTCCGAGATTGGAACACAGAGGCTCAGGGATGGGCAGGAGCTGTCAGGGTCACACCACTGGCAGAGCCTGACCCCAGCTCTCCACTCTGTCCCAGCATTGCCAGGATCCTCTCCCTGTGCCTGTCACCCTGGCTTTACACAAGGAAATATGATGTGTGTTTAAAATAGTCATTACAGCTGGGCGTGGTGTGATCCCAGCACTCTGGAGGCTGAGGCAGGAGGATCGCTGTGAGTTCGAGACCAGCCTGGGCTACACAGTTCCAGGTCAGTCTCAACTACATAGGGAGACCCTGTCTCAAAAAACAAAACAAACAAAAAACCCCAGGCATTATCATAAAACGCCAGTCTCTGTGAAGCCCCTCACAGTCCTCCAGTTGTTCCTAACCACTCCTCCCACTGACCAACCACTTCCTGCAGCAGCCCCGGAACGCTCTGCCCTGAGTGACTTTAGTGGCGCTGTCCTGGCTGCCTCCGTGTCCTTAATGGAAGCAAAAGGCTTCAGTTTCAAGGTCATTTTGACCTTGTGGAGGAGCCGGAAGACTCACGGTGCCAGATCGGGTGACTGGGTGAGGATGCAGCGCCGGCTTCTTATTAAGCTGCTGTCTCCCTGATGGCGCAGGGCAGCAGCGCTCACTGTGTTTTTGATCACACCTCATGAGGACACTCAGGAAAGAGGGTTTTAGAGCTGCTGCAGAAAGACGAAAGGATGGAGAAATGAGGGCGTCTGAAGCAAGGAGGAGGAGGTTGAAGGGGATTCACGGCGATCAATCTTTTACTATAATAAATTTTGAAAAATGTAAACATTCACCTTTTTTTGATCACCCTTTGTATTTTATCTCTGTGTTTTTGTGATCTGTGTCTCCACTTACTTGTTTTGTTTCCGAGACAGGGTATCACTGTGTAGCACAGGCTGGCCTTGAACTCACTATGTCGCCCAGGCTGGCCTCAAACTCACAGCGATCTTCCCGCCTCGGCCTCCCGAGTGCTGGGATTCCAGACGGGCGCCACCATGCTTGGCGGTCCACCCCTTTAAAAGGTGACCCTGAGCAAGCATGGCCTTTTGTGCGTTCAAGCCACTGCTGTTGGCGACAATGCCGGCCTCGTGGCTGTGGCTACCGCCCCCGGGGTCCAGCCCGGGTCTCAGGGTCCCCCGGTCGGGGTCCCTGCCCACAGGGCGGGGCTCACTCTGCGGTGGAGAAGGCCAGGGTGAAGTTGTGCCGGCGCGCGGCAGGGTCCAGCGCCGCATAGTCGAAGGCGTCCGGGAAGAACTTGTGGATGAGGGCGCAGAAGGCCATGCCGCTGCTCCAGCTGGACGAGAAGTTCTGCACGTCCACGTGCTGCGGGAGGAGGGGCGAGCCGCG